TTTTTTTTTCGGTTCGTTTTTTTTCCGGTTCGTACTCTAATGTAATGCCACTTTATATGCCGCAGTTGATGCCTTTAGAGGCTTTTGTGTTTACGCCATGTTAAGCCTCGAATCCTTGAATGCCATAGCCGCAACATCCTCGACCGTTTCTATTTTTACACGCAAATAAAAATTGTTTCTAAAACTAAGATCAAATGACTTCGATTTGGGCCATTGAAAATGTCTTAAATCAATTTGTAAAAATTTCAATTTAAATAAAAAACATTCTGGTTTGAAATTTATGTTAAAAATTCAAACATTGCTTTTAATCTAAAATTAATCGAACTTGATAGTCAATTTATATATTAAATTAATTTTTACACAATGTATTTAAATAAAATATATTCTTTAAAATGTATTTAACATACATATTTTTATAAATTTCTAGTACCTTGTAGTTTAATTAAAATGGAAATTTAGCTTTTTCCTCTAGCATATTTTATTTGTGGACTGAAAATACATCCAGTCCAGGATACTAATTATTTTTGTCGGTGCATGGCAGCTTCTTTCTGGCGTTGCATGTGTATTGGCATTTGCTTGGTTGATTTTCATGTTGTCCCGCCTATTTGCCTGTGACAATCTACCAATCTGCTCCCACTCTCCCCTCCCCCGGATTTTCCCCCTCATTTTCCACCCAGCCCCGCCCACTTCGGAGTGTTAAGGCCCAAACACAGAGCAAGGTCGTTTCCCGTTTTTCCATATGCCGCATTTACATTTAACATTTCCATTTCCATTTGAGGACGTGCTTCGGTTCGGTTCGCTTTGGTTTTGCCTCAGTTCGGTTCGGTTTTCCTCCCGGCTTTTCCTTTGGCTTTTTTATGCATGATCTCATCGCTGACTGGCAGGTCATGTGACAGGCCTACTCCTCTTTGAGCCCCCCACCCTTCCATTTCCCACCTCCCACTTTTCCCACTCCTCATTGTACTTTCCCATTCGTTTTTGTACTCTTCTCGGGGGGCCAGACAAAAGTTAATTGCTTGACATTAAACTGTGGAAAACGATGGACCCCTGGGAAAGGAGTTGGGAAAACTGAGTTGGCCGAGGTTGCAAGCCTGCAGCAAGTATCTCTTAATTATGATTTTTAAAAAGAATCTTTATGAAGGGTTCTCAAGTTACTTTAAACGCTTTACGAAATTTAGCAGCTGCTGAAAATGGAAAGCCATGTAAAATGTTGTAAATCGAATATAATAGTGGTGATTTAAATAAATCATCACTAATACTAAGTATATTACGCAGTAAATTTATTATTATCAATTACGCACAATCGGATTTTCAAAATTGACTTTAATTGAGTTTTCATCAAAATTAAATAACCGACTAATATAAAATATTATATTTAAATTGAATTAAACTATTTAGTGAATAGCCTTTAAGCTTCGAGTGACTTAGCTCTATTTAAATGGGCTTGCACTTCTAATAGGCTTGCTGTGTCCAAACAATTTTCCCCTTTCTGTGAAGATGGCCTGAAAACTCCTGCCTATTTCACCATTTCAGTATTTTTTTTTCGTAGCACGCGCTAAGCCGCCAACAAACTTAAGCGGTTTCCGGGCTGGGAACAAAGATTTGACACCAAAAAAAGAATATTAAGCCCGTGCTGGATTTGCCTCCTGCCTTGTCAGCTTAGAATCAAAAACAAAAGCCCCGTCCCCAAATATCCCTGTAAAGCAGCTGTCTGTTGCTTGCCTACTTTTCGCAGGTGGAAAATGGGAAACTCGGCAAACTTCCTCGCCCTTCAGATCCGATTGGCTTCATCAGGAACATAGAAAAGGTAGGGAAAGTAAAGAAGAACGACCCTTCGGGCCAAAAGGCAATACATTAGAGCCCCGGCTAGATTAAACTTGACTTTTGCGCTTCCATTCTATCCGGAAGCCCTCTCAGAAATTTGAAATTATTGCCATCGTTGATTTTTCGTGGCAATTTTGTCATTTTGCGGTTATTAGCGCGACAATTTCCACTGCTTTGGCCTGCGATTTATTGCCGGCCATTTGGCAATGAGTTATTACGGCAGATTAGGCCAAGAACGTGGCTCATTTTCTGATTAATTTGTAGGTGTCAATGGGCCACAGACAACGGAGAGCCAGAACCAAGGAACCGGGGAAAAGTGAATTTTTATTGCCCAACGTAAATCACAGGGAAAAAGGATAACACGCCTGTCTGCTGTTTTCCCCTTCCCTCGCCTGATTTCAATTAAATTGCTTTTGATTTAATTTTAGAGCTCAAACTGTTGGCTAAACAAACAAAACCAGTTAGGGACCAACTGTCTGTTTGGGTCTAAGTGGAGTACACAAAGAAAAATGAATGGTAACTGGGATTTTCAAAAGTGACTTAACAAGGAGTTTTAAATTCTTGAAAAAGGTGACTAAAAGTATGCAATGGAAAAATAACGTCAACTGAATGCTTTGGACCTTTTGTTGCATACTTTTAGGCACCACATTAAATGTTTTGAAAATGTATTTTTAATTTATTTTATAATAATAAAATTACCAATTGTTTAAATACTTTTTTCTCAGTACTCTCTATTTTTCTCAGCTCTCTAAGTCCCCAACTTGGTTCTCTCTACTTTTCCCTGTAGATTTCTGGCCCGCAGCAACCGCAAAATGCCTGAAGGCTGGCACAACTGGCAAAAGGAAAAGAGGGCAGGACACCGACAGGACATCATTTCCCTGTTTGATCTACTCCGGACCCTGTGTTCTGCTTGCTTAAAAACGAATTACTGGAGGAAAAGTTGGGGCAAAATGGCAAAGGAAGGCCCACTGAAAACCGGAGGTGACCGCAAGTGGAAAATCCTTAGCCACAATCAGAGTTCACATACACATCCTTTACGGTCTCGATTTATTTGTTCTAACGTTTTTATTCTTTATTTTTTCCTGCAATTACCGAGCTTCCTCTTGTCGCTTCTGAATTTATTTAAAAACTTTTTTACCAACCAATAAATCTAGGCACTGGCAATTAATAAACATTTACAATTGCAAATCCCCCGAAATTTACTTTGCGGTTTTATGGTTTTTCTCGACTGACTTTTTCTAATATTTTCGTAATTAAACCTTTTTGCTTTTGCCGACTGACTAAACACTTTAGATAAACATAATGAATTTGATGTCTGTGTATCTATGGACATTTATTTAATGTGGCTTATGCAAATGTGGGCGGCTGGGCGTGGCCCTGAGGCCGACTAATTAAACCGCAAGCGACCTAAATATTTTACATGTGTATCTAATTTTTTCTCTAGTTTTAGTTTTATAAATCCACCTCAATTGGATGTAAACCATTTTAAGTGGGCGTGGCCGTTTGAAGAGGCGGTTAATTAGCGTTTCGATATATATTTTTACATATACCATGATGCGTTGGTGTTGTTCCAAGTCAGTCAGGTGGGCATTACTCATACGACATGTGTGACGACGTTGGCGGTCGGCTTTAATTCATTTCCAGCCACCGTTGTTATTTACAATACACAATTATTGGCTCACTGTGGTGGGGGATAATATGCGCAGTGGTTTGTTTAGACCTGATTGGAATGCGGTTTTATAAAGTGCAAAATTCCTAATAGGGGAACTTAAATTGCCTTAATATTATGTATTTTAAAATAGATTTTTAATTCAGAGGTCGGGATTTTTAAAGATCTATTTTTCTATCTATTTTACTTTTGAATTTATTCTCTATTCTCCACATCTCTGTAATTAGCGTAGTCTTCTGCCCACTTGTATGTTGTCCTCTTTCCACCACTAATACTAACGCTTATTCTATGGCCAACACAACCGCCTCGGCATGTGTGTGTTGTTTTTGAATTAATTACACAGTTGATAGCCATGGCTATAGGTAATAGTAGGGCCATAAAACCAATGGTACAGAGAAAGAACAAGGAGGGACATTTGGTGACTTAATTTTAAAACCCGAAAAATCCCAAGAAAAAGTATTCAACAATTTCAATAGCCTACTTTTATACACTTTAATAAGGTCTTCAGACCACTTATAATTCTAACACCTTTTACAAATTTTTCGCTCAGTGCACAGGTGTAGGCCCAAACACTCGATTGCCCTCGCCATGGCGGCCGGGGCAATATTTCACTTTATTTGCCTTTTGATTAGCCCTAATAGCCAGCGTTAACAGCTAGCAGGTCACACACAGATACACACACACACTGCCGACACACATCCACTAATACACCGCCACTTGTTGCAACAACAACAACAACAATTAAGCAACAACTGCGACGAGTGGCACATAAATTTGTATTCTAATTACTTGCGTTCAGTCAGCAGCAGGTCGTCGGTTCAGGTCAGCATTTGTAATTTATGTGCCCGGCTTTGCTGGCTTTTAAAAAAGATATATGCGATTATGCGATTGCCGGTCGGTCGTGTTGCTAGTTGTGTGTTTGCGGTGTTGCCCGGGTTGCATCTAAATACTTTAAACGAAATGTGTCATGTGCAATGGACGCATTCCAAGGGGAAATGCGAAAAACACGGGGTTAAACGTCCATTGTCTCCCTCCTTCATTATGCTAATGTTTGGATATTCAGATGGTGTTGTAATTGCCGCCTAGCATGCAAATTAAGAGAAGGTCGACTTGTCGGATGGATGACTCCGCCTGGACTGGCTCTGGAAAAAGTTACCCAAGACTCTCCCCAAAGTTTCTAATTAGCAATGGTCAAGCTCCGCCATTTATGGGAATTATTTTCCCTGTCAGTCTGTGGAAATTATTAATGATGCTCAAGTGGTTTGGGTGTGAGTAATGGCAGCGATTATCAGGGGAATGGATATGGGCGGATCATCTCTTTATGCAGTTCTTTCATCGAGACTTTCAAGTACAACTATTACTCATGGCTTTCAATGGGCGTTTATAATAGATTTTCTAGAGATTATACTATGGCATATAATGCTGATTTTTAGAATGAGCTACAAAGGATTTTCCCTGATTATGCCGTGAATGCTAAGAATATTATTATTGAAATCTGAGCACTTACAGTTTACATTCAAAGTGGCAGTGGCCTCCAATCGTTTTCCCTCGTTCATGGCACGATTTCTGACTACACACTTGTACTTCGCACCATCGTCCTCCCTTCGCGGGATAATGGATAGGGTGGCATTGGTGGGCTGATCCTTAGTTCCGCCCTTCAGAACAGTGGCGGGCAGGGGGGAATTGGAACCCTCGCGATACCAACTATATAAGTGGGTAACAAGTTAGGATAGGCAAAATACCAAGAAATACATGTCCAAACTTACGTTATGGTGGGATCGGGGGAACCGCCGATGCTGCTGCACGTTAGCTCCATGGGCTTGTCTTCGGTGGCCACGGCTATATTACCGGGCGAGATCACGGGTGGATGGGGTGGTGTGAGGACTGTGAGATTGTGGAACTCCTGATGGACATCGGCTCCCGTTCCCTTGGCCTTGATGCGGCACTCGAAGCGTCCATTGTCTCGGTTGTAGGACACATTCTTGATCTGCAGATCGTAAATGCCGCGCTCCGGTTGAAAGTCGAGTCTGGAAAAGAGAAGGGGAATCAAATAAGTCAAGAGCTCCATGTATATCATCACATTAAATATTCTCCGTAAAAATCATATAAATACCAAAATCTTTAAGCCCATTAAAATTTAAACTACACCACATTTAAGCTTTATACTTTGGTAACTTTTCAGGAAAGAAGAAAACGAAACAAACTTCAAAGCTTAAATGTCAGAATCCAGTCAATCAATTTCCATTTGCCTCGAAATCAATTTATTTTTATTTGAAAACTTCCCCGCTCTTCAGTAGCCATCACTAATTGTGCTAATATTGGATTTTCCCACTCTTGTCCTTGATTCCACTTCCTGTTTTTCTGCCCGCAGGTGGCCAAACTTTAAACGCTCCGTAATATAAATAAATACGAAATGGTAATATTTGACGAAGGAGGCGACAGGACGACGAATTTCATGGTCGAGGGGACGGGAGGGGTGCCAATATAAATAAAATCAACGTTCGAATAAATGTTTGCATATTTTTCCTAGACAATTTCCAACAAGAAATTGGGTCTCAGACGTTGCCAACCCAAGTGAAAGGTAAACAGGGAAAAAAGTAAAGTAATTTTCGCACAGCCTTTGGAATTTTCCTTATATTTACCTTATTGTTATTGTTATGTGCCGGACTATTAAGCTCTGAGGGGTTCTTATGGCGTAATTGCTTTGTAGCCCCGAAAACCAAATTAATTGCGAAAAATTGTATAATTGGAAAATCAAAGATAACTTTATGTATATTTTCCATATCGCATTTAGCAGGAAAACTTTTAGAAATGTTGTTTGTTTCTCAAATAAATAGATGCACATACACACAGTGCTTGTTCGTGCCAAAGAAGCAGTAAATTAAATTTATTTTCCCATAATTCGTGTGTGACAATTTTGATATAATAGCCTGGAACTGAGAAAGTTTTCAATTTATGGCTATTGATTTTGCTAAATGGTATTTTGCATTCAAGAAAGCTTCCGTTTTAATTAAATTTTTAAATTGTTTGTTTTTATCGCAAGCATTGATTAAATTCGCTTGGGGATCCAACAGAGATTACCCTTAATCTTAAAGCCCAATCACGTCTTTAGTTCGGTATTCAATATATCGAAAATGTGCTGGTCTTTCATCTATCAAAAAAAAAAAATAAGGGACATGGACAAGTTTGTCAATTTTCCATCCTTGGCTTCTGCCAGACATTCATTTCCCCCTCCTTCACTTTCTCGTCTTCATTTTGTCAATGTCTTAATATTTCAAGGCCACTTCAGTGTCCTCGATTTACGATTTTTTTGGTGCTACGATTTTTCACAATTTTTCAATAGGATGATGATGCTGATGATTATTTGGTCGTCATCGTCGTCCTGGACAACTACTGAAAATTGATGCCGCCCGAATGCGCTTCGCTGGATTCTTGGCTTCTCCTCGCCGGTCAGTCAGCAGTTTATTAGATTGGCAAACAAGATGATAGCCCCCAAGCCCTGAAACCCCCAAATCGCGCAGATACGATTTTCATTTTCCATTTCCCGAGACTTTTCCGAGTTCATTTGTCAAGCGGCAAGTGGACTTTTGACTGACACTGAAATTGCTTCTCATCTCGAGGATTTTTAGCGAGCGGCTGGGCCGGCACTTTTCCTAAGATTTTCCGAGACATCTTTGAAATTTCAGCTTTGTGCACTTCGGTCTAGACAATTTTGCGATTCTAATTGGAGGGGCTTAGGGCTAAGACTGATTAGCTTGGTCAGGAGTTCGTTTTATTTACTCACTCATTTTACTCGTGTGCTAATTGCTAGCAAAAACCGCAGTGGCACGACGGAAAAAAAGGAAAATGAAACACGCGTCTGTGTGAAAATTTAATTTGCCAAGCAGCAAACCGCAGAAGGACGAAAAAAATACTGGAACTGCCCTGGACTCTTGCTCTTGAAATCCCTAAATAGAATGCGCAGACTGGCCAAAAAGTTCAGGGGGAAAGGGAGAAGGACTTGAGTACTAAAGAATCCAAAGAGTGCATAAAATGTACTCGGAAAAAATTTTAAGAATTTCATTAGTTGTAACTTCAGTATATGAGAATAAAAGTAAATAGAGCCAAGAGTTATATTCAAGGATTTACCCAAAGAATGCTGCTACTTAGATATTAAAAAAATATAAACATTTTGAAAACAAGAAAATACTATAACAATATTTATATATATAGTATATATACAACAAATATCTTTAAGAAGGTATTAAAAATCTACAGATTAAAATGGACTTTTATTTACTAAAATTTATTGCACTTTAATGTCTTTACTCTCACTAATTTTTAGTGCATGTGTCCCAATTTTTGCCTCTGCAGCAGACAGCAAATTGACTGAATTCTCCACAGACTGGACCGCTCATCTCCTTTTTCCGCCCAAAAAAAATCCGCGTGTCCTTGTCTAGTTGAATTTCTTTTTTTTATTACTACGAGTATTTTTCTATTTGCAGCTGGTGCTCCTGCCTTTCCCCACTTTCTCTGCCCCCTCGGATATATCTCTGCTTTTTGGGGCCGAGTCTCTGGCGACTTGCTCATTTGCAGCTGGGATAGAGAGAATTCTCAGGACACGTGCTCGTTGGAAATAAAAAAAGTGCAAATTATAAAAACTGCTGGCAAAGCGCAGTCATCGTCATCGTCATTGCCGCCGCTCTGGGGAATCCCCTCGATTTTCCACCTCCTATTGGCAAATGAAAAGCGCCTTAAACGAGCAAAGCCAGGAAAACAGGGGGAAAAGGACGCGTGTCCTTGAGCGTTATCCAAAAAAGGACTCCAGGGGGCTGCCTTATTCTTGTTGCAATTTTCAAGTTTATACCCAGCAGGCCCGGGGCTTTATTTATATCACCCCACTTCCTGCTCCTCGGAAAATGCCCCTCCTGCATTGCAATTTGTGATTTGTTGTTGCTACCACAGTACTGTCCTCGATTCGCAATTTTTTATATTTTTGTTGCTCCCTCTGGGCAAAAGCAAAGTTTTTATTTTTTTTTACAGAGGGTAACCTTAAACGGCCACCAATTATTCACAAAAAAAGAATGTTCCACACAAAAGTAAGGCAATTTTTTTGGTTATTTGAATGGCATTACAAAAAATGTGGCTCATCACAAGGTAATATATTAACATTTTCTGGAAAATATATTTTAGGTAATAATCCTACTCATATCTTGTAAGGCCCTGTAATTTACATCCCAGATTATGATCTTCAATTCGAAAATTGATTCGTAAGGAACATATTTCAGGAATCCTGCTTTTGGCAAACCATTTGTTCGATTGAAGATAGCCCAACTGATTTTCCATCAGATTTTCCTCCCAAGCATGCTATCGCATTTCTCCCCTCGCCGAAATCCCTCCACAAGTGAAATTTCGCATTCGAGGGAAGCGCCTTCCCTTCTAAATGCCGCATTCATTGTTTCTCAATCTCTGTGAGAAGAGCATTCCCCTGATGTCTCGTTAAATTAAATGTTCAGCGAAATATTAGCCCAGAGCTTTTCTTTTTCCCTTCGACCTGTCGCGACATTTTGGCCCAGAGAAAAATTCTGTAATTTCGGTTTTTTCTTGTTTTGTGTGTGTGTGTTTTGGCATTGCCAGCAAATTTGCAGTAATTTCACTTTTGCACAGATAGGAATTTTCCAGGGGGGTTTTAAGGTTCGGGTACTATCTCCCGCCTTATTATGTGGCCAGTTTCGTTTTGGTCTCCTTGAGCCGTGTTCTCGTCCTGTTACTTGTCCTTGTTGGCTGCTTGTTTTCGGCTCCTTGTTAGCTTTCGGCACAAATTGCAGTAAAAATATATTTTACAATTTGCCTGGGCCCGCAGCGCGATTTCTTGGCCCCTCAACGCCTCTTTATGCTGGTTTCTATTTGTTGATTTGCTTTTATTATGCCCACACTCTTACTCAGGGGCGCACAGAAAAAAGTTGGGCTTAACTTTGAAAAGATTTGAAAATCTTTAGAAAATTGTATCTTCAAATGATTAAACTGATAGGAATAAAGGTTTATAAGTTGGTAGTCCTCAGATAGTTTGTGGTGGTTTCATTTTTAATTACCTACAGATCCTTTTCCCAACATTTCGATACATTTTATTGGATAGCCTTCGACCCTTCGCATACATTCACTACATTTTCGATTTTTATTTTTCTCAATTTATTAAACCATTTTCCCCAGTGCATCCATAAAATGTATATGGCGTAATACCAAAGCTGGCTTGCGGCCATTTTATTTGGCAAGCTGTGAGCGGAATGAAACGGAACGAAATGAAACGGAAACGCAGCGACACGGAATGGAACGGACGGAGGGTTGCATTTTCCGCGAAAGAAGAGGCAGCCGGGGAAGAAGAAGAAGATGTAGGTCCGTGCGGCACAGTTGGCACTTAAAATTTATGCGTTGCCACATAAAGAAACCAAACCGAACATTAAAAAGCAGGCGGCCAACAGGAAACGGAAGTCGCAGGCACCAGGCGAATAAAAATACAATTGAAATCTGGGGATGGTAACGGGGGCAATGAAAATGAAACATAAACACAAACTCCAATAGGCCATGTGTGTGTATATGCATGTCTCAACATGCAACACGCGGCGTTGACATTAAGGATTAAGGCAGGACATGTACTATAGAGATGGACTCACGACAGGCGATTAATCGTAAATTTAATAAGGTCAAATATTCAGAAAATATTTTTTTACAACCATCTCTTTAGAATAGATCTATACTTTAAACATCATTCTACATAAATATCATGAAGCTTACAACCGTAACCGTACATATTTTAAATTTTGTTTTCATTTCCCTTACATATACATACATTTAATAACTCTTTTCATATTCATAAGCCCCTTTAAGCCGTTGGCCAAGTTTGGACTTAACTGTTTCAGTCGTCTGGCATTTTGTTTAAATTGCCAAGAACTTGATTTTAATTAAGTTGCCAGGCCAGTCAGTCACATGCATAAATCGCATTATCCAGGTCGGGAAATGGAGAATGGGGCGAAGGGGAGTGTGAAACATTTAATTAACTTAACAAATGGCTGCCAACTGCTGCTGCTGGGATAAACTGTACTACTCGGTCGGCGGAAGGATAACCGTTAATGCCGCAAAAGGACAGAGGCGGCGGCGGGGATTCCCCTCCACGTTTCACTTTACGACCCCACGCACACCGACACACACATATACCCATTAAGGACATCAGCTTTATGGACAGCATTTAACATCCCTCAAAGCCGGCCATTCCCGCAATTATCATCCTTGTTGCTGGGTCGCGATTCCATGACCATTAATTGCTAGGCTGGCCAAATATCGATGGTGAAAGCAATCGATTGTATCGATAGTATCGAAAAGCTTTACATTTTAGTCCAAAATTCAAAGCTAATTCATAATTTATTTTAATGTTAGCATGAAGAGGCCACTTTAAACTTAAAAGTAAGTAGAAAACTATCGATATTATTAATAGCGTTGACGATTACTCACCTATAGCCAGAACTCAATTGCACATCGCCGATGGCCACGTTATCGAACTGGGCGGGATTCGCCGTCCAGCGGGTCCAGAAAAAGGAGAAGTCGTTCGACTCGTACTTGTCATTAAACCGGCACTTGAGGGTTAAGTCGGCGTTCTCTCGTGTGTCAATCGATTCATCGGCCAGAATCGTGGAACTGAGCGCTACAAGAGCTGAAAAGGATATTGAAGAAGATATAAAATTAATAATAGTCAATCCTTGGAGGTTGTTCTAGTTTTAAAATGTGTTTCGTAAAAATCTCAGAACAAAGAAAATTTCTTAAAGTTTAAATCTGCTTACTCATCCCCAACTTGACAACTTGTGATTGCGACCCCAAAAATAATTGCCTTGCCATAAATAATTTAAATTCTTGACCACCACACGAAAGAACTTTATCACATTTTCATAAGGCTTAAAAGAATCATAACTTTTCACTCCAATCCCTTACCCAACTCCAAAAAAGAAAAACCGACGACATAAGAACCTTTTCAGTGTTCATGAAATTTTCATCAGCTGTTGTTCTTTTTTTACCGAAACAAAGGAGAGAAATCGGTTTAAAATAAAAGAACCCATAAGAAAAACAAAGGACAACAATTTTTGTTTAATTCTTAATAATGCATTATACCTCAACAACTCAACTTGAAACTTGCCAAGAATAAAAAGGGAGAGCTTCGAATAAAAAAAAGAATGAAAACAATTTCAAGTAACTTTTTCATATGCTTAGGCGACAAAGTTTGAGATACATTGCCTACCTTTAAGCGCACCTTGAACACATGCGTATCCCAAGGATTCAGGGACTCACTTTTTCGTTCATTTTTTTCCTTTTTTTCTGGTGTGGCCCTTGGCGCATTACTCTTACTTTGGTGCGTAAATTTCAAGTGGAATTTATAGCCGCTTTATATTTGGCATCAAATATGCATGAGGCGGCGTTTAAGCCACTCCAGAAAAAAAGTCGCGCAAAAAAAGTCGAAAAGAGTGTTTGAGAGGCAATAAATTGCTGTATTTTAGCTGCTGCAGCTCCAGACTGTTTTTAGTCTGTGTGCTAAATTTAAAGATTGTTTCGGTCTGTTTCTCGGCATTTGCATTAGGGCCAATAGTCGTTAAAATCCCCCAAAAGTTATGCGGCCCATGAAAATCGCATTAAAATTAATTTGGCATTCGGCTGAAGGCCCTTAAATATCCGTATCTAATCCGATGGATAATAGCATCACACGTCAAGGTGGCAACTCTGGCGGCCAACAAAAAGAAGCCTTCACTTCTCATTTTGCGCCCCGGGTTTTCTATCTTTTTGGGCCGGGAATTTATGTCAAAAGTTTCGTTTCTTGTTATTTTTCCAAGTCCTGGGCGCTGTGCCCATTTCATTCATTTATTCTGGCCGTCTCTGTCTGCCATTAAAGTTACTTTTGTAGAGCTTTTGGCCTGGTTGTCAACGCATTTCTTTGCTCATTTCACTTGACTGCTTAACGGGAGGAAGGGGAAAAGCCGGGGAAAATCACGGGTGAGAAAGAGAGGGACTGAGTTAGTGCTGTCCATTTTCGCAGGATGCGTTTCTAATTAAAAACTTTGGATGGAGAGAAAGGGGCGAAGAAGTTCAGCTCGCTGCACTTAGGCAAATTGCCAGATGTTGTGCTGCTCCACTGAATTATCCTTCAGAATACTTTGGGTCAACATTTAAGGAGACATGAAAGATGCATTTGTTAGAGGAATTAATGCTATAGTAATTGAACGATATCAGAACAGATCGAATGAAACCTTAAGAAAAACCAGGTTTTTTTTAAAGGTGGCGTAACAAAAGCGTTACAATGTTATTTATTTTATTTTATTATTACATATTTTTTACATGATTATAATTAGACTTCATCGTCCGATTGACAAATAAAAAAACATATTGTTGTCTTATGGCAACCCATGTCCATCATTTCGCCGTTAAACATGACAGTGCAGGACTCATGGCCATTGATATTACTCGTTCCATTACTCCAATACAAAAAAGGTGACGCCTTTCCAGAAGCCACAGATACAAAATGTCCTTCTTCTTCCCGGTCGTTAATGCCCAGCCAATAAAATGTATTCCTCATAAGTTTCCTATCCAATGCAGCAAACTCATTCTCATCTTGGACAGCTGCTAGATGTCCACCCAATGCAAGACAGCTGACTTCTGCATCAAACCAATTCTGTTTGTCATTGCGTTCGATATAAAAAAATCTTGATCCTATCCGATCAAATTCTGGCGGGATGGACTTCGTGGCTGGTAGCCGAGTGGTCTGTACTTCTGCTGGTCTGTTTTGCATCTTGGCTTCAATTCTTTCAAAATTCATCATTGTTTCGCTCCTTAGGCTGTCCAACTTTTCTTGGGTTTCTTTTAGCTGTAGAGCAATCATATTTAACTGTTTCCAAACCTTCTGATTGTGATCGATGAATGGCCTTTGGGCGGTAAGGCAAAATGCACCACATTGATTCGGGGCATCCTTCAGAAGACAAACTGTATCCCTATTATCCTGGGACTTAGCCAATCCATAAAGATTGCAGACGACCGAGGCATACAGAAAATAAAATCGGAGCTTGAGCATTTTTCGGGCGTATAATCTTGGATAGCGAATGTTTGCAACTGATTTAAAATATATTTCCAAACTCAAATAAACGCCAGAGTACTCAGTGATAAGCACAAAGATTTTTTGTTTAAAAAAAAATGTGATAAAGGCGATAGAACAATCAAGAACAAACGCTTTTTTTTATAAAATGCTAATACATTTTTGTATACAAGTAATATGTGTATAAAATAAGAAGTCACATGTTTCTTGATAAAAATAATTGCTTGCTGAATAATTAACTCTTAACTCTCTTAAGAGTTAACTCTTAAATAAAATTAAGTGAAAACGAAGCACCGCCGTTCGATCCCATCAATGGCTGATTAATCGAGACCTTTTAAGAAGAAATGTCAACGCTTCCTTATATTTTCGATTTCGCCTCTTTTATTGTCGGACATTAAGAATTCACGAAATGTTAAGTGCAATTAATGGGGCGAATGCAAAAATGGTGAGAAAAAGCAATGGCCAACCGAAGGCAGAAACTTGCAACTAATTAAATTATCGTTAAAAAAAGCGCACGAAGGAAGGAGCTAAAAGAAAAATTTCTTATAATTGCTGGAAATTAAAAATAATATGCAAGACGAGTGAAAAGGAGTGCAAAGGCAGCCTCAGTGAAAGCATAAAAAATTCAATTTCCGCTCAGGACAGGGTCAAGAGTTTACATTTTCATCCCAACTAAAAGCTAATGGAGCCAAAAGGACAGACGCAACGGAAGCAGCGAAGTTTTTATTTATGTATTTTATGAAAATTTGCACATTAACTCCGAGATTGTTCAAATGACTTGAATCAAGGTTTAAGAGGTTCATCAGCTAAGATAAATTGTTTCAGATTGCATCTCTACTGAAATTATTATTGAGGATCGTTAAGCACGAACAGGTACAGTAACTCAAAATGGGCAGAAAAATGTGCATTATAAGGCTAATAAATAATTCCGAGTTCCGTAGGGCAATCTGCATTCGTTTGAACACCGAAAATCATATCGGTTCGGGGTGTTGCAAATCTTGCAAAACTCGAATACACAAAATTCCTATTTGTTCGAAAATAATTGGACTAGAAAATTATGTAAGACAACAGCTTTTCGCATCATCTAGTTAATTTGTATTTTCCTCGATTTTCTGCTGAACTGAAAATTTATGTACATTTTCCCCAGAAATTTTCAGACCAATTCAAGGGAAGCAATTCGATTACGCCTGAACGGCAAGAGCTGGAAAATTTTCTAGAACATTTGGTCAACGGCCTTTGCATTGGGCATTGTTGTCTCTCTTCGGGCCGAGAACTCTCAGACCAACACCTTTGGTACAGTGGAGCTTCTGTTGCTGCAGCTACAATACGCAATTATGACGTGGGAATTATATTAAAATGGAAACAATGACGAAGGCAAAGGGACCGAAGCGGAGGAGGAGGAGGTGGGAAACCCCAAGCTGTGAGCTCTTTTGTGGCTGCCTTTGGGAAACTCGAGAACCCAGCGAACGCAGAATATAGGAACTAAGAACATACACAGATAAAAACGTATTGCAAATAGACAACCTTAAATGTTTAAAGTCGTAATCAAAGAAATTTTCTAAGAAGTTTTAAACACTTTGAAAGGTAGCTAAAAGTGTGCTACAATATGTTTAAGGTCCGAGTTTAGTTTAGTTTCACTGCATACTTTTATACACCTTTCGATATCTTTTTTGATTATGATATTTCATCATGATATTTTGGTGAGTTATATTTTAATCATAATATATTTAGCTAATACGCTGGTATCTGAACCGAAATTCTTTTTTTTAGTGTAGAACCGGAGCTCTAGACCAATTCTACGGCACTGAATTTTGCCCTTGTTAATTGCATGTTCTGCATATCACTTATAAATGCACCCACACAATCACAACCAGTCAACTTCGCACTTACACAGACACCTTGCCTCACATGTCAGGACACACACACAGACGAAAGAGACGGCAACAGGGCAAGCGAGAGAGATGGCAATATGGATGGAGCTACGAAGACTTTTGGAAAAGTTTGCCATAATTGGATTTTCAGAGTTAATTACCAGCATTGAATTTGGCCATAAAATGTAAGAAATACCTACGCTCTCCCTGTCTCTTTCTGGGATTCTCTATGCGTCTCTTTCGCACACTTGATTACAATGTAAGTTGGCATAGATTTTTGATTTTAATTGGAAACAAAAGTTGGTGAAACATTTTGCCTTCAAGTTAGGGATTGTTATAGTTGGAAATTAGATACACAGTGGGCAAACAACATCAAATGTGATTATTTTTACACCTTAAAGAAAACATCTTTATTTTAAAGCACTATTGATTAAATTATTTATTATTTTATAGCGTTTCTCTGAGTTCCCCATCGACTGGATATCTTTAAGGTTCGTAATACCCTGATTGCAACCGCAGGGATAAATAGACACAGAGAGAGGTCTGCAAAGTTATGCACAATGTGGACTCAGGACGGCGAGGAGATGCCAAAGGATGAAGGACCAAGACCAGGACCAACAGAAGCTTTGGAATTATGTCTTATTATTTTGCCTGCAGCCTGTGGACGGGGCGAAGAACAATGGCAAATCACACAGCCAGGACCAAGAGCAG